TCAGCTCAATCGGTTGAGTGGGATTCAACCATCATACTATCTACCATGGTAGAAAGAGCCAACTACGGGCCACGTGTTCGCATGATATTGCCATTTTTGTTTCTGCCCACTGTGGGCTGAGCGACTCTCTAGTGACTCCATGATCCTGAAAATCCAGGCATCAGCTTGTCACCACGCCGACAGTGCACACCCACCTTGTGGGCGATGAATGAAGGCGACTCAAACTGACTTCGGTGGAAGTGGGGAAGTGGGAAGAAAGAAAGACCAAGGAAGGATGCCCATCTTGGGTGGGTGCTTATGTCTTTTCATGTCTTTTCCGATCTTGACACATGTACAGTGCTATTCATCCAGAATGCATGGGTGCATTAATTATGATGCATTTGATCCTCTATGAGCAGGCCTTTTGTCACAACTGGTCCCACATTGGTCTCACTCAAACTGCTTCAAGTGGTAGGATGCCCTTCATCTAATTGCTGGCTCACGACAACGGCTGTTGAAGGACCCCCTCAGTTGGGCCATGTTTAAACAACTGTTAACAGAAGCCGCTCCCTGAAGCCATCTCAACAAACCAGTCTCCACAAAAGCCGCACCGACCGGAACACCGCCACTTGCGAATTCACACGGTCGTGCTCTCACCTGAAGAACCTGTTTCTGGTTTTCTCCCAGGTTAATCCACACCACCACCACCACCACCACCACCACCACCGCCAGGTCCTGCCACCACGCGGCATAGCCCTCCTTTGTTGACCCCACGCCCTGCAGGGCTGCTCGCGCCGCCGACGCCGCGCGCGCTACGCGCGGCGCCGGGGCAAAGAGGCCGCGGGTCGGCGCCATGCCAGTGCCGTGGAGCTCGGCGGCAAGGCGCCACACAGAGGGGTGCACTGGGGACTTCCAGAAGCCCTGCCTGAGGTGAAAGAGAGGATCAATCTGAACTTAAGAGTCAGGTTGAGCCTGAACAGTTGAGGTGATGATGGTGCTCTTTACGTTTGAAGGCATGATGTCTACGATTGTCTACGCCTCTACATGCCTCTACGCCTTTGTGTCGTGCGTTTGTCTTCACACTAGTGTTTCACTACCCAACAGCACGGGGGTATTTCGGTTCATTGGTTTATTCGGCCGGCCTGTGGAAAAAGAAACCTCAAGAATCTTCCCGAAGATTTCGAGCAAAAGAACTCTGATGCCCGTCAAAGGTGACCAACCGACAAGTCGGACGTTTAGACCAACCCATAATAGAAATCCACCAAAAAGTCTTCTCACACGGCCCAGCTGTGGGCCTGGCAGCGGTGCGTAGCAAGACCGGTGCTGAACACCGGCGCCATTCGTCGGGGTCGAGGATTCCCCCAACTTCGAGGAAGTCCTGGGGTCGGAGGTGGGCTCACCGCATCCCAGTCCACCGTGTTTGTAGGAACGACCCTCTTCAAACATCGCGCGGACTCCGAGCACGTTTGGAACAGCACCCGGCTGTAGAAGCACTGAAAAGCGGAGGTGTCAGAGGGACACCTCCCTCACCATGGTCCACTCCCCAGTGGGACTCTTCAGTCCGAATACGCCCGACCCTACGTCGATTCAGCATCCCCTCCGTCGCTCTCCGGACCGGTCGAGATCGATCTGCGCCGCACGACTCGTTGGTTTCACACGACTCTGAGAGAGACGAAGTGTCGGCGATGTGCGGCGATTGGGCGATCCGGCTCAGACTTGCATCTCAAGATAGAGCCGGCTGGAGTCCTCATGGGACAAAAGTTGTTTACGGGTCCAATTCGGTTATTCAATTGTTTTTCGGTCCGATGTTGAGTGTCCGCACTCGATGCTGGAACAATGTGAAAAGCTGCTAGCCGAGAACCAATGGAAACATGAACGCTCAGTGTCCTCATGGTCGAGAAGCACAGTGTCCTGACCCCACTTGTACTCCTCCAAGAACTGCATGGGAAAGTGTTCCTGGCCGCCCACAGAAAGCCCCGCTCGTGCCCGTTGACAAAAGATAAGTTGCAATAAGTGGTGCAGTATGGTATAGCTACAGCGGCTAGGTCTACACTCTTGAGGTGAGTGCACATCTCCAGCGTATGTAACAACATATGTATCAGGAGTCGGCCTGAAACAAACTGTTGGATCTGGACTGCCCCAAACAAACAATATGGATCTTCCTATGCCCCTTGAACGGTCTAGGTGGTCTCACGTGATGTTCTTGTATTGATTTGGCATGGTTCAACCCACAGCTACGTTCTGAGAAAAATGGATCAACGAACCTAAAGCCGAGGCTCTAAGGAGACGTACTCCAGAAGGTTCGATAGCAGCTGACGCCCACCTTAATTACAGAAGGCTCTTCAGGTCAAAGGACTTTGTTAAACCTTTCATCTGCTCAGCTCGTGCCAAATGGGAGTGCTCCCAAGAATCTGGCGGCTAGCTGCTAAGTGTCCATCTCAATTCCAGCCCTCCGAACATTGGGTGGATTGTTGTGACATCTGTTACATGTGTGTCGTTGTTTTGACCAATCCCAGGGTCGAGTTTCGATTCGGAGACTGCATGGTGGCTGCGTGCAAACGTCTCTCGATATATCCCTATGCAAGTTTTAAGCAGTCTATAATATAATGGTTTATAGGAACACTATTCACGCACTATAGGGCACTATTTGCTGCCACGAACTCTTCTTCCATCTTCCATACGCATCTCCAAAACCAATGCGAGAGGAAGCTGCCATTGTGTTGTGCGGATAGAGTGAAGCGAGGAAGGACTGCGATGCGGTTCAGTAGAAAAGCTTCGGCCAAAATAATGGCCAAACATGCCTCAGCTGGACTACACTGATTTGACTCCCATTTGGTCTGAAACATGGAAAGGCTGGACATCTACTCAACATTACTCAACTCACTTGTTCTGTGCCCTCCTATATATCTTGACAATTCTTGACAACTCCAATATTTATCAAAATCTTTTTAGGACAAGTTGTTTCGGAATTCTGCAAGGGTCGGATGTAAAAGCGCTGCTTCTTTGGCAAGGTGCCCGTCGGTCAGACAAGCCTTGCCCGTCCCAGTGTTCCTGAGGAGACTGACACAGGAATCGTCCGCAAAGCACCCAATAGGGGTTTGATTCAATGGTCCGTCCGAACATATGCCATATATGCAGCATTATATGCACATCAGCTTATCATAGCTTATATTGGCCTATTAAGATCTATATTAGCTTATCATAGCTTATCATGTATTCACATCAGCCTATTAAGATCTTTCCCAACCTGACGACGATCTTCAAACCTCGGCTGCCAACACCGGTCACCGAGAGACCTCCACACGCCACAGCAGCAGCTTCGGACGCCGCAGCCCGAGCCGGTGCAACAAGCGCTTGGCTCGCTCCTTGGGACGTGCCGGGCTCGGGTCGCGGGAGGTCGGACAAGTCAACCAGGATGGGTTTTCAGGAACCCAGCTTTCTATGTTCAACTGGTCCTGGAAACTGCTCTATGATGGAACCCATCGTTTGGAATATGTTGACCCATGAAATCCCTATGAACATGAACTGGTCTATGATTCGTTGTTCGTTCTCCATGTCGATGCCCAGTTGCTGAGCTCTTCTCCGATTCAGTTCGGCTCGTGTTGTTTGAGGGACTTCGGCTGCAAATGTTGTGCCCGGCGAATGGCCGGCCCGAGCGGCCGGGTCAAGGCTCACTCTGCTTAAACATTAATGAGACCTGATGTCACTCAGCCAAGGCCGGATCCCAACTGCGAAGGTAAGAAGGAACCCACTGGCAACATGCGTGACATTGTCCTGCAACTGTCAGAAGTTCTGACTTAAAAAGTGGGATCGTAACATGATACACACAACAATCTCTATCAAGGTAATCAAGATCTTGGATACATCTGACCCCATGCTCGCGGGGAAACGTGATGCTCGACTCGGTTCACGCTTGTCGAACCAACTTGTGGTTCCATGATCAGACGAAGGACCATGAGTTTGTGTCACCGGTCCCTCGAAGTCTCGAAAAAGCATACTGGTCTGACTGGGACTCGGCTACATCTGCTACATACAATCCGCAAGCGCGGATTCTCAGTGTCGCCCCGGGTCCATCTGTCCCAGTGTCGAGGTCGCCACGGAGGTCGCCCGGGCCCATCGGCACGCCATCGGCCCATCGGGTGTGTGTTTGGCTCTTGGACCACGCGAGGAACCGGGGACTTGACTCCATTGCCATCCATGGCCTCTAATTGACCATATGCCCACCCACCAACTATGAACCGGCGACACGGGACACGGGACTTTGGATGTTTGAATCAAGCCGTGTCGCATGGCTTCGTAGAAAGAAACAACCGATTGGTAAGCACAAGCAAGTGACTCGATTTAACAGCGTTTTTGTTTTAGAAAAATGATTGAAGACCCTACAGCAGCCCTAATTAGCAGTAATTAGTAGCAGTGACAGTGAAGGCAATGAAGGAGTTTTTGGGGATCGGGTCCGTGGCTCGTAGAGGTGGTTGGGAAGATCTCTTCTGGCAGATCCGACCGGTGGATTGATGATGCTTCGACTGTCATGTGAGTGTCCTCGGACAGGGGACTACTGTGCAAGTCGGATGTTTCATGCCCGAACCCATCCATCTCCCGTGCACGACTTCAACTCACGTGCACGAACAAAGGCGAGCCAAACGCCATGGACGAGCAACGGGGAAGGCTCAGCCGTGATTCTCTTCGAACACTGGCTTCTGCACATGGCGCTAAAATGTTGACACACCAATTGAACATTCAATAATCAACCAGGGAGGAGTTGGACTCACTGGTTTCCAATGGTAAAACAACATTATAAATAATATATATATATGTGTGTTTATGGAGGTGAGTCAATTTCCATATGCAGGTGCTCTCAGTCTAACTCTTGGGCATGTAACTGTAACTATTATATCATGTAAAATGTTGGAAGATGTTGGAAGTTTGAAGGTTTTTGTCATCTGATGTTGGAGTTTGCAACCTTTCTCTATACTGGTGCCATCGGGTGAGTTTGTTTTCTCACAGGCGGCCGCGTTGGGCACCTCTGCGTCCTTGCCCAAGACCAGCTGGGAAATGTCTTGCAACCTCGGCGGAGGTTCTCTACAGCACGTGCCCCTGAGTAATCCAAAAAGGTCTTGAATCATGCTCTCATGCTCTCAAAGCTGGAGACAAGAAGGTAACAACAAAAATAAGACTCCATGCTCAACTCTCAGGGGCGGGTAGACTTGGGCCACAACATGTGGGGACTCATGCGGGGTTGGCCACGTGAGTCCCTCTGACTGGGTTGCTTTTGCAAGGCTTGCTTTGCCGGTGGCTTTACCCCCGGCCCCATTCGCCATCTTCACCGACATTGGGCTCTTGTGCCCAGCGGCTCCTTCCAAATCTTCACCTTTCGCAGCTGGTCCTCTTTGCTCGGCAACACCTGACTCGCTGGTCGTCCGCCTGGTTTCGCATACGCGAAACCGTCCCGGTCGCTGGTGAGGTGGTCAAATTGCTTAAGATCTCTCTCTCTCTATCTCTCCCTCCTTCCTTGCGGAGTTTCGCAAGCATTGTTAGAAGGTGTGGGCCGAAGACAAAAGACATAGTGTAGCTATGGGGCAACTCATGAAGCAAGTCCTACGGCAGCAAGGCACTTCATCAAGATCCAGGCTTCTACAAGTACCGAGCGACCACAGGATCCCATTCCTAACTTTTGTTGCAGGGCTCCAATTTCTCCCAACAAATTGAGTTTCAACTGCAAGACGCTCCACTTTGACATCACTCTACCCGACCAACGAGTGATGCTTCAAGCATCGATTCAGAGCATCTGCTCCCTCATGTGCTTTCTCATTCGGGGCCGGAGGACACGTGATCCACGCCTGGCAGGCCAAAGCTTCAAGCTCCACATCTAAACTCTCCTCCTCATCCTGCGAGGAAGCTCGCTGCTCCATCCACAACATCCGTCACCGGGGGGCCCGCCGAAGATGGATCCGGGTGTCTAGGTCTGGCCTCTTGGAGTGCTAAGTTTGGCACTTTTTGGCGCGAAGAGGTGCTAAATATTGCTTGAGTCTATCCTATTAGTAGTAACAGTCAATGGATGATGATGATGATGATGATGATGATGGTGACTCAGTTGCGGACCTTGTTCAAAAATTGTTATAATTGCTTACCCACTGTCTGTTGCAGGTAATAGGACAAACCCAAAATATTGGATTGGTCCGACCTGTATGATCAAACACATGGGTCCATTTAGCAGGAAACCTACGAACACAGCAACAAAGAACCCAGGCTCCCAGGAAACGCAAAAATGACACATACAACGTTCTTTCCGGAGTCCCGCAGGGCAGGGCACTTGAACCAACCCTACAAGTCCAGGTGGATTTTTAGGCACCACCAAAGTAAAGGAGATTCCCTGTTCGGATCACCCAAAGACAATTTTTTAGTGGCTTTGGACTCTGAGGGATGTAGAATGAATAAACCCCCCTGACGGCGGATGTTCTATTCCAAATGAGGGGGTGATCAATCAGTTCAAAGAGTATACATTACCATAGGGCCATAGGGCTTGGGAAGGTCGTAGCAAGTTAGACGTCCAACGTCCCTGGCGACTTTAGTGGTGTTGCATTAGTTGCAGTACATATCATCAGGTCTGGATCACACTGTCGCAACAGGATTGCATACATGTACCAATTGTGGTCATCGGGTCATCCCCAAAGAACACGATCCATCAAGGTACGTTGAACGCCTGACACACTCACCTATTCCCAAACACTCCATGGGACTGCCATATATACCTACATTGGGGTGGTTTTATAGGGGTCAATGTATGTAAATATGGGCATACATGGAGTGTCTGGGATTTACATTGTGGACCAACATTTGCAGAAGGCCCCCACAACCGGTCAGTGCGATCAGTGTGCGTTTTTGGGAGCCCCTCACCAAGGGGGGGCATTCAGAAGCAAGTTCACCCAACGTCAACTCCACATCCAACATGTTCAATTGCTAGCAGGTGGCAGGCTTTCCAGCCATCAACGGCAAACCCAAAAAGAGAAACCGAGAGCTTTGCATGGTCCTTGCCGGGGCGCCTTCTTGGAACATGTTTGCAAATCAACCACCTTCTGACCCCACTCCCGTCCGACGTACACTTAGATCCATGCTCGCAAGAGCTCTATCACTTTGGCTAGGGAAACAGCTGCCATGCCCCGTGCTTGACAGCTGCAAGCCTAGGAGGGATTAAGGTGGAATTGAGTTAATGTGGTCGTGCTCCTTAGGGACAGGAGTTGACACACGCACACACTTGAGAAGGTTGCTCCGTGGAGCGTGATTTCAGGTAGCTT